ACAGCTGAATTATCAAGGAAATAATCAGACAAGAACTACAATAACATCTTGTGAATAATCTAATGAGAACTCTGGATATTAGTTCATTTCTCACATACTAGGCAACTTAGCATTATTTTTATCAAATGTTTGCATAGAACTGTCTTTGACATGGTTAAATTAGATTTCTCAATATTAAATTAAGAATCCTATTTCATAATTTTGAATTATAAATAAAGTCTGAAAAGGAACTGGAATAATCTTCTAAGCTACACTTGTCAATCTGTCCATAGTACATTTCAATTTATAGCCACCAAACTACAAAAGGCTTTCACCAAAAATTAATTTCAACCATCAGTCCTGGTGTGGCACAGAAGGGCAAGCACTAGACAGCTAACAACAAGGTTGGCAGTTCAACACCTTCAGCCGCTCCTCAGAAACCCTATACAGGGTTCTCTGAGTTGGAACCAACTTGATGGCCCATAACAACAGTATCAATTTTAAAACTAAGTTAGCCCTGCTAAGATAGAAAAGAATCACTAAAATTTCATGACCTTTTTTCAGTCTTTACTGCTAACAGAAAATAACTCCTCCATAAATTTATAAATCCATGCTAGATTGTATTGTAACATATAGTTACTTTATCAGGCCCTGTCCCTCAACTACTCCTCTCCCTCGGCTCTCTGAACAAGAAGCAAGGAAGGTTATTCCTTGCCCCATTGATGCTGCACTAGGTTTTATGACTTGGTTTTGTCAAAAGACTGTGAATGGAAACTATGCTGCCACATCAGAGCAGAGGGTTTAAATAGAGCTCGGTGACTGTTCCCTCCTCCATGCCATAAGAATAAGCACAACTTGAAACAGAGCTGCTCCTATTAGCCTGCTGCTGCATGCTGTCATGTTGGTTCCAACTCATGGCAACCCCGTAAGGGCTTCCAAGGCTGAGGCTGTAAGCCTTTTTGGGACAAGAAAGTCTCATCTTACTCCTGCAGAGCAGCTGGTGGATTCGAACTGTTGATCTTGCAGGTAACAGCCCAACTCGTAATCGACTATGCTCCCAGGTCTCCTCCTATCATCCTGGTCCCCAAATAAAGATTATATGAGGAGCATGCCAAAACCAAAGGAGTCCTGCTGGTACAATGACTAGAGTGCTTGGCTCTCAGTGATTTGAATCCACCTGTAGCTTCATGGGGAAAACACCTGGTGATCTGTTCCCATAAAGATTGTTGTTGTATGCCATCAAGTGGGTTATGATTCATCGTGACCCTACAGGAGAGACTAGAAACCCCCCATACGGTTTTGGTTTTCTAGGATGTAGATCTTTTATTCAAGTAGATCCCCATGTCTTTTCTCATGTAGAGTTGCTAGTGGGTTCAAACAGCTGATCAGTTGTTTAACAGCTGAGCACTTGATTACTGTATCACAAGTGTGCTTTCCTGTACAGATCACGGCCTAGGAATCCTGAGGAGCAGTTCTACTCTGCCCTTTATGTTCAGGATGAGTCAGAATCTACTTCACAGCACACAACAGCAAATATCTAAAACCACAGTCCCTGAGTGGCTCAAATTGTTAAAAGTGATTAATCAAAGGTTAACTGTTTAAACATACCCAGAGGTACCTCAAAAACAGGTTTGACAATCTACTTCTTTGTAGGGTCACAGCCTTGAAAACTCTACAGAACAGTTCTACTCTGCACACATGGGCTCTCCCCAAGTTGGAATCAATTCAACAGCAATTGACAATATACCTAAAGCCAGAGTCCCTAGGTGTCACCATTAACATGCTCAGCAGCTAACCAGAAAGTTTGGTAGTTCACACCTAAGAGGGACTTTGCAAGAAAGGCCTGGAAATCTACTTCCAAAAAATCAGAATCTGAAAACCCGATGAAGCACAGTTCTGCTCTGACACACAAGGGGTCACAGTGACTCAGAATCGAGACGATGGCAGCTTTTGTCATCAATCAACTCACAGCCCAGAGTGGAGAACGATCGACTGACTTACAGTTGCTGAAACAAAGTGTAAAGAAAAAATAGTATCTGTTATTGTCAGCCATTGAGCTTTTGGGGATTGTTAGGCTGCATAACCATGTGAAAGCTAACATGTCATTATGTTCCTTCAGACTAAATTCAGTCCTAAGGCTGAATATATTTAACACCTTTTAGAAATATTTCCAACAGAACTGGAGACTGTTAAATATTTGAAAATGCCTATCCCTGTTTCTTTACAGATGAGTTAACTGCACCCAGATAAATTATTTGCCCAAGGTAATATTAGTGAGCAGAAGCATAAACTATGTTCTCAGCTCCTTTCCCTGTAAAATGAGTACAACAACACTTCAAATTATGCATCCGTGCACCTCTACACATGCCTACACAAACAGAAATCAGCTGGGGGCATACTGTCATTTGTAAAACACAATGATCAAGCATGAAGATAAAGCCCCTTAAGGCTCCTCGAATATTATGTCATTGTGACAATTATACATGAAAACAGAACATTTCTGAGAATGTCAACTTGAGACAACAGTCATAATTGTGCAGTTCTATTTAATAAAAGGAGTCCTGGTGTGGCACTGTGGGTTAATGCACTGGACTGCAGAGTCACTTTGAACCACAAAGTCAGCAGTTCAAGCTCACCAGTGTTGCTATGGGTCAGAATTGACACAACAACAATTCTCAACAACATTTAATAAAAGTATTAAACATGAAAGGGTTAGCTGATATATATGTACAGTCAGCTTAACTATACACAAATATTTCCTGGCAAGCCTAGAGTAGATTTTGGCCTAGGCAGAGTGGCATTAAAAAAATCAATAGAAAAAGGCATTATCAATCCCTAAATAAGAACACAGTAGTGGGAGAAGGGACAGGAAATTAATCAGGAAGCAGAACAGGCATACGTATCTGGCACTGTCCAGGGAAAGAAGGCACAGAATCTAAAGGATACATAACAGGAGCCACGGAGGGTGGGGAGAGCCTCTTTTATGGGGATTGACAGTCTAGAAATGCTCATCTCAAGATAGCTATAACCCATTCTACACCAACGTCATGCTCAGCAAATTACCTTCTGATGACTAGCCAATCACCCATGTTCTAGAAGGGAGTCAGAAAGATGCCCAAGACACAGTTCTCTAGCATTCCACCTCATGCTAATTATCAAATTGACCTTCCTGGTTCTCCATCAGTCTCCCTGGGCCTCATCAACTAGAGGCTTTGAGGCTTCCTAGGTGGTCTCACCAAGGTACGTTAGGTTTCTTCACAGTCAGTTGTGGTTCTTTGTTGGGATGTCCAATCTCACCTTCCATTTCAACAACAAACCTACCTAAACACATCTTTAGGGCTACCTAAACACGTCTTCAACAAAAAGTGTTTCTAAAAGATTTAACTGTTTAAGCTATTAGGAAACTAATGTGCTGCCCTAACATAAAGTGAATATATACTCTTTAACAAGCTCTTGGGGTGAAAAGGTTATAGGCTTGAAGTCCTTCCCATGAGGAACCTGCACGTACACTGCCTGGATTGCACAGGATCCAAGCAAGGACATGCAACTACATATTACAACTATTACAAAAGTAGTAAAACCAACTATTTATTCTACATACATGCTTGTTTTCATTCTCTATTTAACTCTTCGGAAAGATGAAAGAATTGTAACTTTTCAAAGAAAAAATAGTAACACTCAATGATTCTGAATCTGAATGTTTCTAAAACACCCTACACCTAGAAATTTAGTCCACTGAATTAGGAATCCTTTAAAACCCTTTCAAAACAGTACTTACATATTCAAAAATTCATACAATGCTGTCAGAGTTAATGTTGTTTGACCATTTGACCAGTAAGATTTTTTAAGAAAAGTCTTTCCAAATAAACGCAGTTTACTTTCCAATGCTTTCTAAAGTCTTGTCAATGGCTGGAGTGACTGACTATATTCTTTACCAGTAGCTGCTTACTTTTTCAAAATTGGTGACTCATGGGCCACTAAGAGTCCAAGAATTTTATTTCTACTCTTGTTCTTCAGCCAAGACCCTATTATTAGCCAGATACCAAGAACATACTATCCAGGAATGCCTTGTGAAATAAGACTACAATGCTTAGGTTGAGAGAGAAACAATCCTGACTGTGGCCATCATTCGCAGAGTCACCTCTGACTGAGTGAATGTGCTGAGTCATTCCTGCTACCATGGAGAACTTCTGATGGACTCTGTAAACCTCAGCTTTGACTTAACATGTCCCCAGGAAATCATCACAACTCATTATTAAATGTATTAAATATATCCCAGATCCTTGTTGCTTCCTACATACAAACCCAATTGGCCAGGAGCCCTGAATTTATGTTAAACAACAGTTAAAATTTCTGACGATTTGTTTTAGGAAAAAGAAACCATTTACTCTATAAATGTGGCCCTCAGAGATGACAGAGTTCTTTAAGTACACCAGGTAGGAAAGCCTCTGATCCTCAAAGCAAGGTTATAAATCAATACTAGTAGAGGCTCATGCTTTAAAATAGTATTATAAACCTGAATAGCAGAAAGACTGTCCTGTGACTTGCTACATAATAGAGTAAGATCATCAACGTATGATTTTTAAGTAGCTATACACTAACAACAATGGTAGCAGTAACTAGCATGTGTTCAGTGTACATCATGTGTTAGTAATTTTACAAGTATCACTTAATATCCCAGTAGACTTAAAAAGCTTATTACTTTTTATACAAGAGGAAACTGAGTAACCTTGCCAGTGCCACTCAAACTGGTTTCTGTGTCAAAGTGAGATTGAGGCCCAAGTCCATATAACTCTAGTTCTTGAGTTTTACAGTCATGCTAAAGTAAGTCAACAATTTAAAGGAAAATATCACTGAAATTTTGCTTGGGCCTCATGAGTGAACCTCAATTTTACTTGGATAAAGTATCAGGAAGCAAATTATTCAAATATATCCTTTCTTCCAGCTTCACATAACTATCAATGGTAACTAAACTGGACAAGAACAACATCTTATAAAAATCCATTCAGCAAAGTACTTACATAGTCAATGGGCTTCAGGGATTTGATGTCAGACGTTGGGCAGCCACAGGAAGTAAGGTCAGCATAGAGACCTTCTTCTAACACACACTGATTATCAGAAATGTCCCCTTGGTAATACAGGAGCCAACTAAAAATATGAGCAGTCAGACATTCAGTCAATGCATTCAGCTGGCATCATGCTATATATCACAGAGCAAAGTACCCAGCTACAGTAAAAACAAATTACCGCTATCATTTATTAAATGTTTACCATGTGCTAGGAGTCCTGGTGTGGCACAGCAGGATAATGCACTGGACCGCAAGATTGGTTTGAATCCCCAGGCCAGAGGTTCAAACTCACCAAGTCACTCCTTGGTAACCCTATATAGGGTCACTGTGAGTCAGAACTGACTTGATGGTACCTAACAATAACTGTGTGCTAGATAGAATCACTGGTCAGTTTGTTGTACTGTGGTGGCTTGTGTGCTGCTGTGATACTACAATCTATGCCACTAGCATTTTAAATTACTTACTAGCAGGGTCACCCATGGTGGACAGGTTTCAGCAGAGTTTCCAGGCTAAAACAAACTAAGAAGGAGGAAAAGCTGTCCAATTCTGAATGGTTAGTCACAGAAAACCTTATGAATACCAAAACACTGTCTCAGATACTACCAGAAGATGAGCCCCTCAGGTTGGAAGGCATTCATAATACAACTGGGGAAGCGATGCTGCCTCAAAATAGCCTTGACCTTAATGTCACGGATAGAGTGAAATTTTCAGAACCCTTAATTTGATGATAAAGCACAATTCAAAATGTAAGAAACAGCTGTAAACATTCATTAATCATTGGAACATAGAATGTATAAATTATGAATCTAGGAAATTTTTAACTGGTCAAAAATGAAATGGAACATATAAAGATCGATAAGCTATGCATTGCTGTTGTCGATGTTACGTGCCTTCGAGTCAGTTTCGACCCATAGCAACCCTGTATAGGGTTTCCAAGGAGCAGCTGGTGAGCTTGAACTGGCGATTTTGTGGTTCAAACCTACTTTGCAGTAGATCTAGTGCATTAACCCACAGCTCCATGGAAGGACACCATTAAGCTATGTATACATTAGTGAGTGGAAATGACCACTTTAAATCTGACAATCATATGGGTAACTATGCTGGGAACAGCAAACTGAAGAGAAATGGTGTCACATTCATTGTTAAAAAAGGCATTTAAAGGTCTATCTTGAAATACATTGCTGTCTGTGATAGCATAATTTCCATACACCTACAAGAAAGCCTACTACTACTACTATTCAAATTTACCCACCAATCACCAAAGCCAGTGATGATGAAAGTGAAGAATTCTACCAACAGCTTCACACTGAACTTGATCAAACATACAATCAAAATACATTGATAATTATTTGTGTTTGGAATGTTAAAGTTGCAAACAAAGAAGAATTGGTAATAGGAAAATATGGCCTTGGTGATAGAAAACAATGCTGGAGACAGCAAGAAAGACTTTGCTAGACCAATGACTCACTGGATTTTCTAACAACATAAGAAGCAGGAAAGAATTTGCAAGACCAATGACTCACTGGAAATACCTATTTTCTAACAACATAAGAGGTTAAGTGTACACACGGACCTCACCAGATGGCCTACATAAAAATAATACTAGTAACATCTGTGGGAATAGACTCTTTAAGAGAAGCCAAAACAAGACAGAGGCTGACTGCTAAGCAGAACATCAATTGCTTATATGGAAGTTTAGGCTGAGGTGAAGAAAATTTAACCAAGTTTATGAGAGTCCAAATATGGCACCTGGGTATATCCCATTAGAATTTAGAGAAAATCAAAAGAACAGATTTGATGCATTAGGGACTAATGACCAAAGACCATAAGGGTTGTAGGATGACGTCAAAAGCATGCTACAGGAAGAAAGCAAAGGGTCATTAAAAAGACAGGAAAAAGAAAAGACCAAAATGAATGTCAGAAGAGACTCTAAAACTTGTTCTTGAGCATAGAGAAGCTAAAGTGAATAGAAGAAATGAGGACGTCATAGCGCTAAACAGAAAAAGTCAAAGCCCAGCTCTAGAAGATAATTATAAAATGTTCACAACCCTGGAGTTAGAAAACCCAAAGGGAAACACATGCTCAGCATAACTGAAGTAGAAAGAACTGAAGAAATCATGCAAGTCTTACGGTATAGTGAATTATATTATGTCTCTTCTAGCCATATTCTTTGTAAACTTCCACCCAGTGATTTTTATCTACTGAGTATAGGAAAGAAGGTTGGGGGAGATGCTGACTTGTGTGACACACTTGTGAGTGACTGTTAACAGAATTGTCTTTGTAAGCACATGGAAATTTAATGAGAGGATTGGTTAATGTTACCATTCTGTTGGGCCAACTCAGCAATGAGAGGGGGAATCTATCATCAAAGAAAAAAAGCCAGGAGTGGAAGACATCCTTTGGACTCCCAAGATTCATGTGCACTGAGCCTCCTTGACAAAGGGGCAGAAAGCTGTGACACCAGAAGAGTGGCAAAGCAGCAGCAGAACCAAGAGTCAGCATACGAGACAGAGAGGTGGGTTTCCCAGCCCACCGAGCAAGCTGAGAGACTTTGGGCAGGAGGCTAGCTTGCAGAGTTGGGCGCTTCCAGGCACTTTATTGAAGGAGTCAGGTTTGCTGGCCCACAGAACTAGAGCTTTCAGGTGAGGCTAATCATGGTGGAGTTGTGTGTCCTTGAGCATTTATTAGCAGCCCTGTAAAAGCGTTGCAACATTGTCTGGACAGAGGGGGCCTGCTTTTGGGCATAACTGTGGAGAGGTTGTTCTGACTGGAATAACTGCCCTAAGCATTTCTGACCCAGAATTGTAATCTGTTAACTTCCCTAAAAAACCCTGTAACTGTCATCATGATGTCTGCTGAATTCTGTGTGGCCATCACACTGAATTACCGAACTCAGATGAAAAGTGGAGAGTGCTACTGGAGGCATGGTTTGATTTATTTTATTAAAGGATTCTATGGATGCAATATTGAACGATACAAGAATCATTAAAAGAGGATGGAAGGAATACACAGAGTCACTGAATCAAAAAGAACTGGTCAATCCTCAACCATTTCAAGAGGTAGCATGTAATCAAGAGCCAGTGGTACTGAAGGAAGAAGTCCAAGAAGCACTGAAAGCAATGGGGAAAAACCAAGGCTCCAGGACTCTACTGAATACAAATGGAAAGCTTTCAGCAAACTGAGCCAGCACTACAAGTGCTCACTCATCTATGCCGAGAAGTTTGGAGAACAGCTACCTGTCCTGTCAAATGAAAAAGATGCATATTCGTGATTATTCCACAGAAAAGTGACCCAAGAGAATGTGGAAATCATCAAACAGGATTTCTAATATTACACGAAAGGAAAATTTTGCTGAAGATAAATCAAAGATGCTTACAGCAGCATACTGACAAGCAGCTGCCAGACTTTCAATCTGGATGCAGAAGAAAACATGGAACTTGGGCTTCCAGTGCTCATGTCAGAAAGACTGACTCAAAACAGAAAATAAAGGAAGGAAGTTTACTTGCTCTTGATTGATAATGCAAAGGCATTCAACCACATGGATCATAACAAACTACGGATAAAACTGCAAGGAATGGGTATTCCAGAACACTTCATTGTGTTCATGAGAAACCTGTACACAGACCAAGAGGCAACTGTTTGAACAGAACAAGGGGATACTGAATGGTTAAAAATCAGGAAAGCAGTGTACCATATTTATTCAGTCTGTATGCCGAGCAAATAATACAAGAAGCTAGAATCATATGAAGATGAATGTGGCTTTAGGATTGGAGGAAAACTTTTAATAAATTGAAATATATGCCGATGACACAACTTTGCTTGATGAAAGCAAAGAAGATTTCAAATACTGAATGATGAAAAGCAGAGACTATATAGCGTTCAGTATGAATTATACACCTCAAGGTTAAGAAAGCAAAAATCCTCAACAACTAGACCACTAAGTAACATCATGCATGATAAATGGAGAAAAGACTAAAATTGTCAAAGACTTCATTTTGCTAAGCTCCACAATCAAAACTCATGGAAGCAGCAACCAAGAAACCAAAAGATGTATTGCTTTAGGCAAATCTGCTGCAAAAGACATCTTTAATGTTTCCAAGTAAAGATGTCAGTGTGAGGACTAAGGAGCGCCTAATCCAAGTCAGGGTATTTTCAATAACCTCATATACATGTGAAAGCTGGACAATGTATAAGAAGACTGGAGAAGAGCCAATGCATTTGAATTGTGGTCTTGGTGAAGAATACTGAAAATATCACAGAATGCCCAAAAAACAAATCTGTTGTGGAAGAAATACAACCAGAATGCTCCTTAAAAGTGAGGATGGCAAGACTTTGACTCTTGTACTTCGGGCATATTATCAGTAAGGACCAGTTCCTGGAAAAGTACGTCCCACCTGGTAAAGTGGAGGGTCAGCAAAAGAGAGGAAGACCCCCAAGAAGATAGACTGACACTGATTGGAACAACAGGCTCAAAGATTAACAATAACTGTGAGGATGGCACAGGACCAGATAAACGCAGTTATTTCATTTTGTTGTGCAGAATCTCTATGAGTAGGAACCGCTGGACAGCACCTACCAACAACCATGTACTATGCACTAGACTAGGCACTCGACAACTATTATTTTTCTGAATTCTCAGTAATTCTGTAACACACAAACAGGTTCAATTTTACAAACACGAAAACTAAGGGTTATAGAGGTTAGGTAATTTGTGTAAGGTCCAGCAACATGATAAAAAGCAGAATAAGAAGACCTCTATTGTAAGCTAAAGACATCCCTTCATTCAGTGTTGTTATTGTTAGGTGCCATTGAGTCAGCACCAATCTGTGTTGACCCTATGCAAAACTGAATGAAACACTGCCCAGTCCAGTGCTGACCTCACAATTGTTGCAAAGTTGGATCCTACTGCTGCTGCCACTGTACAAATCCATCTCATTGGGAGTCTTCCTCATTTTCTCCAACCGTCCACTTTACCAAACAGGATATCCTTCTCCAGGAATTGGTCCCTCCTGATAATATTTCTGAAGTATGAGAGATGAAGTCTAGCAATTCTGGCTTTAAAGGAGCATTCTGGCTGTACTTTTTCCAACACAGACTGATTTCTTCTTTTGACAGTCTATGGTACTTTTAAATATTCTCCTCCGACACTGTAACTCAAATGCGTCAATTCTTCTACGGTCTTCTTTAGTCACTGTCCAACTTTCACATGCATATCAGGTTATTGAAAATACCATGACTTGGATCAGGAGCATCTTATCTTAGTCTTCAAACTGACATCTTTGCTCTTCAACACTTTAGAGAAGTCTTGTGCAGATTTGCCTAATGCAGTATGTCGTTTAATTTCTTGACTGCTGCTTCCAAGAGTGGTTGATCCGAGCAAAACGAAGTCTTTGACAACTTCAGTTATTTTCTCCATTGGTATTGTTCTTGTTGTTAAGTGCCATTGAGTCTGTTCCAACCACAGTGAGTCTGCATACAGTTTCCAAAGAGCACCTTCCTTCAGGATCATTGGCTCTTGATCATTGGCTCTTGAAATGTTTGGACACTGACCATTTTTTTTGATACAGTGAGTGACTATTCCTTCCATCTTCTTTTGATGCCTTCTGCATCATTCAATATTTCTCCCAGAAGACTCCTTCAATATTTCAAATTGAGGCTTGAATTTTTGCTTCAGTTCACTCAGCTTGAGAAACGCTGAGTGTGTTCTTCCCTTTTGGTTTTAATATTTGGCAAAGTCTTCTCGAGCTGATCTTTAAATTTTTTAGTCAACTCTTTTACCTCATTTCTTCCCTTTGCTTTAGCATATCTATGCTAGAGAGCAAGTTTCAGTCTCTTCTGACATCCATTTTGGTTTTTCCTTCCTAATGATCTGTTGCTTTCTTCACGTATGATGTTCTTGATGTCATTCCATATCTCTTCTGGTCTTCAGTCTTTAGTGTCTAAATGCATCAAATCTGTTCTTCAGATGAACTCTAAATTCAGGTGGGATATATTCAAGGTTGTATTTTGGCTCCTGTGGACTTGGGTTTTCTTCAGCTTCAACCAAACTTGCATATGAGCCATTGGTCTACTCCTCGCCTTTTTTTGGCTGATGATGTGAAACTTTTCCTCTGACTCTTTCCACAGATACAGTCAATCTTATTTCTGTATACTCCATCTGGTGAGTTCCATGTGTGTAGGTGTCTTTATGTTGTTTAAAAAAGGTACTTGCAATGAAGAAGTCATTGGTCCTGCAAAATTCTATCATGTGATCTCTAGCACTGTTTCTACTAACAAGGCCTTATTTTCCAACCACTGATCCTTCTTTCTCTGTTTCCAACCTTTGCATTCTAATCACCACTAATTATTAATACATCTTTATTGCCTGCTTGATCCATTTCAAACTGAAGAAGTTAGTAGAATTCCTCAATTTCACCATCACTGGCTTTAGTGGTTTGTGTGTAAATTCGAGTAACAGTGGTATAAACTGGTCTTCCTTGTAGGCATATGGATATTACCCTATCACACACAGCATTGTATTTCAAGACGGATCTTGATATCTTCTTTTTTGATGATGAATGTGATGCTGTTCCTCTACAATTTATCATTCCTGGCATGGTAAACTCTGACTGTAGGTTCAAAATGGCCAATACCAGTCCATTTCAGCTCATTAATGCCTATGATTTCCGCCTTTATGTGTTCCATTTTTGAAAATTTCCAATTTCCCTAGATTCATACTTTGTACATTCCATGTTCCATTATCAATGGATGTTTACAGCTGTTTCTCTTCATTTTGAGTTGCACCCCATCAGCACCACACTCACACCCAACTGTGTCACCACAGTTAACTCTACTTTAAGGAGGCATCTCTTCCCTAGTCATATTTTGAGTGCCTTCCAACTAGACGGGCATATCTTCTGGCACAATATCTGACAATGTTCTGGTGTAATTCATCAGATCTCAATATTCAATATTCTGGTGCTGTCAATATTCCACTGTATTCGTAGGCTTTCAGTGGCTAAATATTTGGAAGTAGTCTGTCTCACCTCCTTCTAGTCTCTCTACATCTGGAAGCTCAGCTGAAACCTGTCCTCCATTGGCGGACGCCATCCTGCAAATGGCGGACGCCATCCTGCCAAGGAGCAGAACTACGAGAAGCCTTATGCATGAAAAGTTCATTGTTTAGCAGAGCAACACTGAATGTTACCTTGGTTGGAAAAGCTACAAGGGATGACTCATGCAGGGGACCCGTGGTTTCTAGCTTTCCCTTGGAATAATAGTTTATTTCTGATTTCCTTATAAGAAGTTTTAGAAAATCTTGCATAATCATTAGATACTTTAAAGAAACCTCACGTTATAATAGTTGCCTTTCACATTAACATTAACTCTCACACCATACTCAATCTTATATAATTATAAAAATTGTTTTTTACATTAACCGTAAGTTTTAACATTAGAAATAAGCACACTAGCTAAAGTTTTGGCAATTCAAGCTTAAAATTGTAAGAAACATTCCAGGTGGTTTTAGTCAAGGACATTAAGGCTTTTAGAAAGCAGCTTAGGAGACAGTCAAGGGCAGTGAGAGCTTGGGAACAGAGACAAGAGTTTGATTAGAAGTTTTGAGAAATTGTTAGCATGAGAGAATTACTGCTTTGTTCTTAACTATGAAATTTTAGGGTACTTTTATGTTCTTGTTTTTATTGTTTAATCAATTATCTGTATAACCAATTATAGTAAAAATTATGTTTTTGATTGTAATCTGTAACTAATGAATCTATAGAAAGTAATAGATGTTGGTAAAGTTAGAAATTAAGATGTAGAACTTTGTTTAAAACTAAACCAGACATTTTAGGGGGGATTAGAGAGAAACAGTCACTCTTCAGAAGGCAGACGTTATCATGGTAACTAAGGAATAACTAAGGAGTATAGAACACAAGTTTGGTGACCTAGTGTTCCTCTTGTACCGTTGATGTAACAATATTTGATTGATTTGTAACTGCTTGTACATGACTGTTATGAGATCATAGTATGTTCTAAATGGGATATAAGAAGCAACGTTTTTGAAATAAAGGAAGGCAGTCAAGGGAGAAGGCAGCAGTGAGTGAGACAGTCATCAGAGAGAGCCATTACCATCATTTGCCTGAGACTCAAAATGACCCATTGACTCTTTGAGTTTTTTTAAATTTAATTTTATTTTTTTTCATTCGCCGACTCCACATCCTCCTATCGATACCCTCCTAATAATTGTGTCGAGGCTGGCCCCCGGCACTCCATGGGTGTCCCTGCTGGTATTTAAATTACTGGTGGCATAGCTTCCAGAATCACAGCAACACACAAGCCACCACAGTGCAACAAACTTGCAGGTGAGTGGTGGCTAATAAGTTAGTAGGTAGTTATTAGAAAAACAGCAAGAACATATTTTATTCTTTAGAATCCCAAACTGGTTCATACACTTGTGAAATAGATCTAATATGTTTTAGTAATTAGAAAAACAAAACCAAAAAAAAAAAAAAAAAAAAAAAAAGGAATTAAAATTAAAGAGAGGGGAGAGAGAGAAGAGAAAAATCATGGTTATGACACTGGGAAATACTAACTGTGGATCTGGAAGCCTCAACTGAAATGGAGGGAAGAGAAAATATTTTCAGCAAACAAGAACTTTGTTAAAAAATTAAGAGTAATAGGTTTATGTGGATAAAATCCTAGAGACATATTACAGCATTCTGCTAGGCTACGTAACACATACTATAGATGTATAGATGATGTAGAGAGAGAGAGAGACCAATGTTAGTCTATCAGCATTCTGGTTTTCTATGTCAAACAATGGCCTAAAACAGAAATTAAGCATAGTAACTACACGCTAGTTAGCAGCTGGCCAATGGTTAAAAAAAAAAAACATCTGAAAAATTGATTGCATTCCAAAAAAATCTAAGCAATTCGAATTTCTCTAAATTACTATATTAAACAACAGAAAACATTCAAGCATACTTACCAACCCCGAAGAACTTTAAAAGAACATGGCATGAATGAAGTCAAATTAGAAATTTCTTTTGTAAAATCTATGCTTTCACCTTGGAATCCTGGTTCACTGAATGCTTTTAGCTATAAGAACAACAGCACAACAATAATTAATCAATACAATTGCTTGGCCCTCACAAAAGCAAATGAACCTTTAATTTCAAGTTCTGGTAGCAAACAATCTATGTTAAGGACAATGACAGTCTATTTAAACTATGTTTTTTTCCCCTCATGTCAGTGCTTAGTTACCATTTTCCTATAATTCTTGCACCATATTTGAGGCACCAAACCCAAACCCAATTCCTTGTCAATGAGTCAATTCCAATTTACAGTGACCACACAGGACAGAGTGAAACTGTTCCATACTGTTTCCAAGGCTATACGCCTTTACAGAAGCAGACTGCCCTGTAAAAGGTGATTTTGAACTGGTGAGTTTAGACTGCTGACCTTTCAGTTAGCAGCCAAGCATTTAACCACTGTACCACCAGTGCTCCTCATTTTTGGGCACAGAAGCTTAGAAAACAATTCTAACTGTAAGAGTAAATCAGAATTCCTTCTCTATAAAATGTGGTCCTAGTTTAATATATTCATATTTACTACAAACTGCAAGGTTGACGGTTCAAGTCTACCAGCTGTTTCATGGGAGAAAGACGAGGCTATCTGCTCTCATAAAGATGGAAATCCCTTATAGGGTCCTTCTGAGTTAGAATTGACTCAGTAGCAATGGGCTTGGTTTTAGTTTACGGTGAGAACAAGGAGTCTTGGTGGCAAAGTGAGTGAAGTACTGGGCTAGTAACTCTAAGGTTGGCGGTTTGAACTCACCAACTGCTTTTTGGGAGAAAGATAAGGCTGTTTGTTCCCATGAAAATTTAGTCTCAGAAACCCTACGGAGAACCTCTACTCTGTCCTACATGGTCGCTGTGAGTCACACTCAGCTTAATGGCAGTGGGTTAGTGGTGAAAGCCTGGTGGCTTCATGGTAAAATCTTGACTCCTAACTGAAAGGTTGGCAGCTCAAACATATCCAGTGTCTCAGCAGCAGAAAGACCTGGTGATCTGCTCCAATAAAGGTTACAGTCTAGAAAACCCTATGGGACAGTTTTACTGTCACATGGGGTCACTAAGAGTCTAAAATCGACTTGACAGTACCCAACAACAACATGAGACCAGGAGTTACTAAGTATTAAAGGGTTACATGCTTGAGTGCTAACTGAAAAGTTGGCAGACTGAACTTACCCAGAAAGCACCTTGAAAGAAAGGCCAGGTAATCTGCTTCTAAGAGGACATAGCCTCAAAAACCTACATGAACAGTTCTCTGCACTTGCGGGGTACCACAAGTCAGAATAAACTCAATGGCAATGAGGAACAACAATAGTGAGACCACATGTGTGAAGTAAGTGTCAATTTAACACTAAACACAAAGGAGGTGTGGATTAGCTGGAGGATGGCTGATATGCCTTTCCTTTCCCCCAAGTCTTCCTGATCCACAATTAATATGAGAGAGAAAGAAAAAAGCATGAACACACGCCCATAAGTGTGCCTGTGAGAGCCTAGGAGCAGATGGCAGAGAAGATAATAATGATGGGATTAATGGAAGATTTTTTTGGTGAAGAAAAAGAGACAGCTGTGTCATGTATTTCAGCTTACAGGATTCAGTGTAATGATGAGCATACCTCAAATGTACGGCTTACAGTTAGATACAACTACATTTCTACCTCAGTCCTTTTTTTTCCCCCAAGGAAAATCCATGAAATTGCAACTATATCATCTCTATAATAAGCCAGATACACAGGGCACTTCAAAAAATAGAATGAAAAGATAATGGAATTTTCCTAGGAACTTTTTAAAGCCCCCTCATATAATAATCCACAACTATAGTGGCCTTGGAACTACAGTAGGTGAGGCAAAAAGTAATGAGTCTTACAAATATTTCGCATACACTAAAGCCTTAAGACAACTTGCCCAAGGGTCACAGACCTGTGCTGGCATTAAGAATGCATAGTAACCAGTTGTCTGTAGCATCACCCTTTCTCTAAGCAAGAATGAGGCTTCTTTGAGAATGTGATGTTCGCTACAATCATCATTCTGAGTTCTGAGGAGTTGTTTCTTGGCGGTCCCATTCTAGTCTGACCTTGTTTCCTTTGACATTAAAGACTGACTGAAAGCAGGGACATGAGAGCACCAACTTCCCCTGACAGACTGTGGGTTGTACAGCCCCTGACTTGCTGTTGTGAAACCATGCTGGATATGGAGTATTAAGAAGTGAGGTCTGACTCAGCAAGTTTCCATCATGGTCCTTTTGTTAGACACAAAAGACAGCAAGAGAAATGAGTCTTAAAATGAGAACGACTTCTGGAATAATTCCCCATTTAAGACAATTCTACATATCCAGAGAAAACCACAACCAAATTCCAAACCTAATTCAGACTCATAAAATGACCTTATAGGGCCGAGTGGTGATATGCCACGAAGTTGGTTGCAATTCATAGCAACCCTGTAGAGTTTCTTTATGGGAGCAGGAAGCCTCATCTTCCTCCTGTGGAGCAGCTGGCAGATTTGAACCGTCAAACCTGCAGTTAGCAGCCCAGCTTGTAATCCACTACACTACCAGAGCTCTTCATAAGACACAGCAGAACTGCCTCACAGGGTTTCTAAGGCTGCAAGACTTTACAGCAGCAGACTGTCACATCTCTCTCCCATGGAGATGATAGGTTTGCACCACTGAGCTTTCAGTTAGCAGCTCAATGCTCAACCCACTGTGCCACCAGACCTCGATATGCAGGAAAACTGCCCCAAAACTTCTCGATAAGGACCCATATTTGGGTTAGCAGTTTTTCAAACTATACATATTACTACCTTTTTAAGTGCTGTTGAGTCAGCCTCAACTCATAGCGACTCTGTATAGGGTTTACAAGGAGCAACTGGTAGGTCTGAACCAATTACTTTGAGGTTAGCAGTACAGTAGTTATCCTACAGCGCTGCACCAAGACTCCTTTTTCAAAAGTTTATAAAAGGGAAGGCTAAAAGGCAAATCACTTTGTAACTCCAAAAATAATCTCTCGTATATACAAGTATTTTCCAGTTAAATACGAAAAGCTACATAAGAGCAGAGACAACATTGTCTTGATCAGTACTTGTATTCCCTGATTAAGTTAATTTTATATTGCTGAGTTTAAGATTTATGCTTTATTGCACCATGAACTCTTAAATCCTGGACAATACAAGATAAGCTTATTTCAGGTAGTATAGATAATAGCCACCTATAGTTTTCAGTCTGTCTTTACTTACAACTAAAATTCATATAAATATGCACACGTGTATGTAATATATAAATATATACTTTTTTTTTTTTTTTTTTTTAACCAAGGTAAAAACATATTGAGGTAGAAAAAAAAGGTATCAAGATTTACTTATTGGGAATTCCCAAAAACCAGATGCCATACACTTCTGAGCCGAGTCTCTGTCTTGAATTTAATGGGCCCAGCTGAACCCCTTGAAAGCCACTGTTTCATCAGGGCCTTTAAAAAAAAAAAAAAAAAAAAAAAATCAATAAAAGAAAGAAACCAAGTCATCAAAAGACTGTTAAAAAAAAAAAAAAAAAAAAATCACGCCCTAACAAGATTAAGACAAGTGTATTACTGCAGCTATCTACTTATGGCAGAAACATGTTTAAACACATTAAAAAAACAAAAATCAAAAAACCCTCATACGTATATAACACTTATACATATATACAAACACGTACACACATTTGTAAAACATGTCATTTTTTTAATTTAATGGGTCAAAATTTGCCCAAAATTAAAAAAATTGATTTATTGTTGATTTGAGTTTATTCTACTTTTTCCTCAAAATGAGATATAGTGTGTGTTGTCAAGTAGGCGCAGACTCATAGTGGCCTTGTTTAGGGTTTCCAAAGAGTGGTTGGTGGGTTCGAACCACCAACTTTATGGTTAGCAGTCTAGTGCTTATCCCACAGTACCACACCCCCTAAATTAGAACAGTTTCACAAAAGTAACACCTCATTCTAACCACCTTATAATAAATGACTCTGGGAAGAGCAATGCTCGAAATAATATTCTGAGGATGAACCATATACAAAACTTAACTTTGCTCAATAATTATAATGAAATTATTTTGTCTTGGTAAAATTAGTTCCTAAGAAAAGTCTAGTTGGATAGTCACTATTTTCTAATTCCTTTCCAGATGGATGCAGAAAAAGCACACAAAATTACTCTGATGGGTTTCTTAGAACCTAGACATGTAGAAGAGGAGGAGATGAGTTTTCAGGTGATGTCAATCCTCCAATCCCTGTTGCCATGGCTTGAGCCCTACCATTATCCCCCCAACCCCTTGCAAAAAGAATCATATGAAGCAGAAAACAAAAGACTAATCCCCTGGTTTATAACGTGCCTTTTCACATATATTTCTTCTTTAGAACTACACTTTGAGGCAGAAACGATCACCTCTTCATGGTAAAATATTTTGGCAGAAGGACTTTCTCCAGCTCTTTTGCCCTCCCATCTGATGGTTAAACAAAGAAAAAGTATGTTCCCATTTTTCTGTTATATCATATTCTCTCACATGGTAGTGTTATATGTGTCTCAAATCAATAACATGTTCTACAATGTGTAATTTTACTTCCCTGGTTACTTATGGACTGATGCCTTAAGTAGTTCTTCCAGGTTATTTCTGGCTGCAGTATCACAAAGAAAAATTTCCCTTTACAGCTCTCGCTTCTTAGTAATACTCCATAGAGTAGTCATTTCTTCATGCTCCAAAGAGTTAATAGCAACCACCACTGTTAGAGATTGCATGATCACTTTCAAAAGCAACGTGGCCAAACTAATACAAGACTCTTATCTAGGTGCTTTTTTATTATTATTATTCTAGTGGCTTTTTTAATTCTAGTTGCTTTTTATTGGCTAGAATCATGTACAAGAAGGATTCGAAGCTCAATATTTTAAAGCATGCAACCTTTCAAATATATTTGCAAACTGACTTGAAAAGAGTTCTAGGGAAGAAAGGTGCCCGGATTGGGTCAAAGGTGGGAATTGCTTAGAACAGAATTACTAGAAAGTGTTCCCTGAGTACAACTACCACTGAAAACTGAAAGCATTTTATAAAACTGAATCTGGTAAAATTTCCATTATGCAAGACTTGAGATCATTAACAGCAATGTGAAGATAATCCACACAGTATGTTTTCTGTTTTATTGGGGGAGGGGGACCTACCTTGTAAATATGAAGAACACTATTAACAAAGCTCTATGTTTTGAGCTGGTAAGCAGACTTAGTGATTGATCATCATCAACAGAGTAGAACTACCCTTTCAATAAAAGGGGCTATTATATCAGTGTCCCAAATAAGACATTTTATTATAGCAGGTTTATACACTCAGAACAACAGTCTTATTTTCAGAAATCTCAGGATATATATTAGTATTCTATACACATGTATTTTCTGGCCTTCCCTCTCCTACATTTCTTGTGGTTCCCTAAAATCAACAACATAAAAAAAATTCTCTCTCCAACTTAACTCTGAGAAGGCTGTCGTGTTGTTTTTATGTGCCGTGGAGTCGGTTCCAACTCATAACAACCCTACATAGGGTTTTCGAGGAGTGGCTGGTAGGTTTGAACCACCGACCTTGCGGTTAGCAGTCCAGTGCTTATCCTACAGCACCACACCAGGGCTCACTCTTCTATATTGTCTGAGAATGTAAAATCATCCACAACAACAAAAATTTCCCTCTCCGACTTTACTCAGAGGAGATATTCTTATTCTTCAAACAGGGAAAATAAATACTTGATCTGAGCACAGTACCTGAATTTCCAATCTGGCATAACTACCCACCAAGAAAAAAATCCTTTTTAATTACCGAGTGAAATAAGTGCTGGCCAAGTCCCATTGGTTTGTATGTGGGTAAATATAAACAAGAAAAACGTTCTGAAAATTTGGGCTACTGGAAACAAAAGCTTTCATACTTGACAGACTAAGGAAGCTTTGTTTGCATGTGTTACCAAATTTCCAGTTATCATATACTTGTCAGAAACTTTTATTTTATGAGGCAATAGCTGAGCCATATCCAGAAAAATTAAGTGGGGCCGATTAGCTGGGCGTTTTCATCTGCTTCATCTCCAAGTTGGACTGGAAATACTACAAAGAAAATCCTCCCAGCAATGTGTCACAAATAAGGAAGTCCATAAAAAAGACGAGGGAGGTAGGAGGGCAGAGAGAGAACACAGATGAAAAGAATGTGACTTTTTATCTGAATTTTTAAAACTCAGAAATGGGCTGTTTGGGATTATCTCTGCTTAACTCTTATTCTACTCACATTACTTTGATTCATATGAAGTGTGCATTTAAAGTCCATAGTTGAAGTCTTGAACAATTTGAAATAAATAATGGGCAGGAAGTGCCTCAAAATACACCAACTCAATTATATTCAGAAAGGAAATGTTCTCAACAGGCCTGAGCTAATCAGAAAAAACTAAACCCTGAAAGCACTGGGAACAGAAGCATGGTTAAACTAGAAACATGGCAAACACGGTTAAACTAAGCTGATTGGAAACATGTAAAAACTGACATGAATACAAAAACATACACATTTAAGAGAAAAAGAACTTTAAAATTATGTAAAAGTAGCAAATGTCAAATATCTAAAGTTAATCAGTATATTTGGCTTTTTGACACACATATTTTCTGATTTGTGTCTTCAAATGAACCAGAGGAAACAATGTTTCGCATCCTTTCCTCCTTCTATAGCTGTACCGTGCACACCAGGCACACCACGCATGTCTGTCACTGATGCAACAGACCCTGAAAACGTGTCTCAGCCAAGCACAATCAGACACCAGACGATGTACAGACTTCTGTACTGTGAAATGACACTAATATTCTGAACCTCAGTTTTCCCCCAAATGGGATTAACACAGACCTCACAAATGTTCTTAGAAGAATTATATAGGCAGTTTTAGCCAACAATGAATAGTAAGCAAATGTTGGGCCTAGAGTAATGCCCAATCCTCCAAACCACAATCACACCAGAAATAAAGTAGGGTTGCAATTTCACTAGCCTTTTTAAGAAATACATTGGGCTTCAAAAAGTGTGTGGAAAGATGGAACTAATGGATAATGGAATGTTACTACTAACTTTTTAAAGCCCCCTTGTATTTAATCTAGGTACCAGAAGTACATTTTCCATAGTAAATATGCCAAGATAGTGATTTCTCTATGGTAAGTCTGTTCCTCCAGGATCAGCATAATAAATTGTGCTGAATAAAAATGTAGCATTAATAAAAGGATGATCAATAGAAAATGACCCCAATGCGTTAAGAGTTGCCGTTATATCTAAGGAGAAATGTGGCACTATAGGATAAGCACTGGACTGCTAACCATAGGCCAGCAGCTTAAACTCACCAGCCATTCCCCAGAAACCCTACACATAGTCATTATGAGTTGGAACCAACTCAAAGGCATTTAACAACAACGAGAAATCAAAAGGAGCTATAACAAATTCAGACATATCACCCATTAACAAAGATGGGCAGTCTTCTGCTCATTGGTACCTAGCCATGGAGATATGTAAATTATCTGTGGGAGACAAGGAGTGTGTAGATGCATTTAGTAAACAATTATACAATTTCAAGTTAAGAGTATTTTTAAACATACCAAATATGGAGGCTCATTTATCCCAAGTGGTTCCTGAAAAACACGTTAAAATGTTATTTAACTATAGTCATAGTATCTAATGTTTTTGAAAGTCATGAAAATACCTTTTAAAAAACCAGGAGAAAAATGTCTGATCAACTTATCGGATAGTTTCAAGTAGCTACAACCCTCAAATTAACCTACTGAATTCTCTAATGATAATTTAATATGACTAATTAATTTCAAATAAAACTGTAAGTGGAAGAAAAACATGCTCCAATGGCCATTAAAAAATAAAAGTCCAAAAACTTCCCATCATTCTCTTCCCCACCGTTTATCTCTGGTCACCCTTATTATTCTGTTCTGTTTGCTATTATGGAAATTGGCTGTACTCTTTTCACAACTTGGTGACTTTGCATGCAAGATTACTCCCTCTTTTTGGAATGTCCTTTCTGCCCCACTTCCCTGACTGCAGAATTTCTTTTATTCCTTAAGACATCACTCAATGCATGTTCTGTGCATGGTCCCCAGCTCCCCAGTGAGGGTGCCCTTCTCCAACCTCCCCAGCACCATCTACACTCTCTACTATCTCAGCAATCACAGTGTAATTAATTTTTCATAAATCGATCTCCCTTAAGGGACTGAGCCCCATGAGGGCAGTCTTCCCCTTTTAGCTCCAATAGTCAGAACAATGTCTGACGTTTCACAAGCACTAAGTAAATATTTCTTGAATGAATTCATTGATCAAATTACAGAGTCATCGTACCAATGTACTAACAATAGTTATAGACTCTTATGGAGCATATAGAAATTCATGTTTCTCTCTCTCTCTCTCACTCTCTCTATATATATACAAAACATAGCTCAATTTCACTAGTAAGTGTGTTCCACATATTCAATTATATACACTGGATACCAGTGGCATTGGTTAAGTTAATACTTACCAGTCGGATAGGTCGTATTGACAAGATTATATTATTTGATCCTCCCCAGTCAAAAAAGCATTTATATTTTCCTTTTTCTAAAATGTATTGTTCTCCACAGAAGAATTTCTGCTGGTAGGCAACCCACCTAATACAGAAAAAAAGTGATGCAGATTGGAGTAACCAACAATTTTAAAACCTAAGAATCTCTTCAAGTTCTCAGGATGGAGGGGCAACTTACACTCCACTTTTGACATGAATGGATCTTGTTTCATTGCCAAAGCCAATTTCTTCTAAATCAGAAATTTCCTGATTTGTAATGTCGATAAACTTCCCATTTTCTAGGTCAGATTCAAATAGCGTGATAGAAGACTCTATAAAATTCTGAAAAGAGGAAGAAGCGAATTGAGTTGAGCATGTGTATTCTGTTTTATAGGCTGCTCTATCAGAGTCCTGGTGTAGTGCTGTGGGATAAGCACTGGATTGCTAACCATAAGGTCAGTGGTTTAAACCTGCCAGTCGCTCCTAGAAAACTCTATACATGGTTTCTATGAGTCAGACCAACTTGACGGCATGTAACAGCAACAACGAAGTATGAGCACAGGTTTTATTTATTTGTGAGATACAAATTGTCAATGGTACTTAATAAAATTTTGTAGTCATTATTCCTGAGTTGAAATCAACTTGATGGCAATGAGTTGACAAGTTGGGTTTCTTGTAAATAGTTTGAAAAATAAAAATTAGCCTGGAGTTACCTTAATCAAGACAATGTTAATATAGTAATGGAAATTAGTCAAGAAAAGAGCTGATAGACTGCTGGGACTACATGGCTCTCATACATAATGTTAATTCAAAATAAACCGAAGTCTTGCATCTTGTGCTTAAACAGCAAAAGCCACATGTAAACTAACTTAGCTTCTTTTGTTTGTGTTGACAGTTGTCAAGAGAACAGAAAGAAAGCCACAGAGAGACACTGATATAGAATTAAAAGCATCTTAAAGGTAGCATTTTAAATATGAGGAAGCTTCAAAAAGTTCATGTGTCTGGGTTCACAAATAAATGTATTCATACTGCTTGAGTTTGTGCCATTTTCTACATTAACATTTCTAGAGACCTGGCCAAGGATGGCAGTCAAATTATTTCCATCTTCTGCTTTTGTTTATTTACAGCTTTTTTTTTTGCCTTATAGCTTCTTTTCATCTTTTTTCTTTGAAGTACTTCTTTCCTTCTAAGCCATTCTCCTGGCTTCTCTCCTGTCTGTGCATTTCTCCCTTGTTGTTGTTAAGTGCCGTCGAGTAGGTTCCGACCCATAGCGACCCTGTACAGGGTTTCCGAGGGTGTAAATCTTTACGGGAGTAGAAAGCCTCATCTTTCTCCCGCGGAGCGACTGGTAGTTTCGAACCACTGACCTTAAGGTTCGCAGCCCGATTCATAACCACTACACTACCAAAGCTCCTTTAAGATTCAGCAAATCTACACCATCTGATTTGATGGATGAGTTGCCACCAATATGCATGGTGTCCCTACTGGCCAGGCAGAGTCAAGACAGACCCTGTGAGGGTAATAGATTATTACCATCTCCACTCTATTGTTATTGGTGATAAATGTGTCAAGTTGGTTTTTCAACTCATCACGACTTTGTATACGGTCTCCAAGAAGCAGATCGTGGGTTTGAGCTGATGACCTTATAGTTCAAAATCCAGTGGTGGTCCTATAGCACGGCATTAATAAACTAAATTAATAACTTTCTGTGTGGCACTGTGGGTTAATGCGCTGGACTACAAAGTCTGTTTGAACCGCGAGGTTGGCAGTTCAAGCTTACCAGCCACTCCTTGGAAACGCTATACAGGATCTGTATGGGTCTGAACGACTCAACAGCACTTAACAACAACAACAACAACAACAATTAACTTTCAAAGTCACACAGAGTATAAACAGAGCGTTGTTGCTTAAGAAGAAAGAATAATGAAGGAACGACCTTACATCTGTATTCTGTTTCACATCTTTAAAGCATTTGAATTGACTGAAAAATCTAGACAATTTAATGTAGTCTCAGGCACAGAACTCCCAACTGTTAGAAAAAATGAAGAAGAAGCTTCTTCAGGCCTGAAGATATATTCTTAGGGATCAGAAATCATGATTGTTTTTAAATTCTACAAAATCCTTGGCTGATCAGGCCCTGGAACTCTTGAGTTATATAATCAATCCCCAGTGGACAATGTGATACGTCTCCATTAATGCAGAAGAAACAACAATCTCTGCTACATTCCACCTGGTATCTGAAAAGAGGACTAAAGTCTGAAAATAAAAAATTGTATCCAAAAGCTAAATGAGTAGAAAACTGAGTAAAAACAAGCATATCTAGAAAGTTCTATCCAGGAAGTTAAGTAGTAAAAATTCCTTTATAACTGGAGCTTAAAAGCTGCTATATTCCTTTGTAACAAATAAAAATAAACTTCAAGTCAATATATCTGCCTGACTCGTTTGGAATTAAGAACACATTTCAAGTGTCTGTTCCACAACACTCCATGACATAGACCAAATTATCCCTAAGGAGCATGTCCGGTATTTGACCTTAATACACCCAGATCGTTCCCCACATGGCAGCAAAGTTGAATGAAAATTGCATTGCACTCTGCAGCGGTTCTATGTAGCCTCTTTTTTTTTTTATTTTATATTAATTCAACTTAGATCCTAAATGTAGCGCTTCACTCCTCCCCAGGTTAGAAATGTCTCAGACTTCAACTCCACCAATTAACCCACATAGGGCTGTCACAATCACAAGAGATTGAGAATTTGTTTCCAATTACGTGCTGCATCTGGGGAACACAGAATTTTTAAGTTTTCATATGATAAGCAAGTCTTTAAAACTTTTTAAAAACTATATAAAATCTTAAATTGGCCAAGTATGTATACATTTTTAGCATATCTCAACCGCAGTTATTTTATTGAAGACAAATTTAAATTATAACCACAATATCTGAAAAGGATGTAAGTAACTTAGTAAAGATAGGTACAGATCTGCATGGAACATGTATTTATAGTTACAAATGAAATAAATGGTTCCCCTTTGGTTAGATGCAATCTATTTTCTACTGTTAGGTGCCTTTTTAGTCTAACGTATTTTGGAACAAAGGAAAATAGATATGATCAAGGCCACAATAGAGGGCTCCTTACAGAATGAGAGAAAACTGTGGAACAGAACCTCAAATTCCTAAAGAAAGAAACAAAAAAGCAAACTTACTCTACTAGTTGAGAATAGAGGATTCTCCAAGACTACTACTACCCTGAGCTACTCTAAACCTTGATGGAAAACAAGCCCTAGCAATCATCTGTTAGTTAAGTAACAGATTGGCCTTCAAAATAAAGGATGCCACCCATAAGTACTATGCTCCTCTAAAAAATGAGACCGACGGATCGGATCACAGTTACTTTAAAACAAAGGCAAGAATGCAAGAAGGCAGGGAAAGTAGTTTAACAGAAATGTACTCATCAGAATGGAAATAAGAATGTTTACGTATTGTAAAAGAATGTAACCAACGCCCGTGAACAACTTGTGTAAAATTTTTAAGTGAAAACCTAAACTGCTGTGTAAACCTTCACCCAAAACACAGTAAAATATTTAAATTAAACAAAATTAAGTTTTAAAAGGAACTTTGGTTGTACAGTGGCTTAAGTGCTTGGCTGCTAACCAACAGGCCGACAGAATCAGGAGGCAGATGTGACAATCTGCGTCTGTAGAGATCTGCAACCTTGGAAGCCCTATCAGGCAGTTCTACTCTATCCTATGGGGTTCTGGTGTGACGCTTTAGGATAAACACTGGATTGCTAACCACAAGGTTGGCAGTTCAAACCCACCAACCGCTCCTTGGAAACCTACAGGGTCACTATGAATCGGAATGGACTCAACACTTAACAACAACACTACATTCTGCCCTATAGGGTCACTATAAACCAGAACCAACTGGATAGCAGGAGATTTTTTAGTGAAATATTAAAATAAAGAAAAAGGGGCGGGGGGCAGGGAGATGGATAATATGACCAGGGTTTGACAGAGAGGCAAACTTGCCTTCAAATCATAGCGCTACATTTGAGTACAGTAACTACTATCCTGTTCAATCTAGCTCTGGTAGCGTAGTGGTTACGAATCGGACTGCGAACCTTAAGGTCAGCGGTTCGAAACTAGCAGCCGCTCCACGGGAGAATGATGAGGCTTTCTACTCCCGTAAAGATTTACAGCCTCGGAAACCCTGTACAAGGGTCGCTATGGGTCAGAACCGACTCGATGGCACTTAACAACAACAACAATATGGGAACCCCACCCTAACCAGGTGTCCTTTGTGTGGTGCTATAAGATAAAGCACTGGACCTCAAGGTCGGTGGTTCAAACCCACCAGCTGCTCGTCAGAAACTCTATACAGGGTCACTATGAGTCGGACCCAACTCAAGAGCACTTAACAACAACAACAACTCTTAACTCCTAGGGTTGTTTTTTGTGAAGGCAAGTACAATCATGCATATAAAGTCATTAAGAACTTGAAAATGTTAGGAATGTATTATGAAAATTACGATAAAACATGTTTAACTATATACTAACAACAAATCTGTTAATTTTTTAAAAAAAATTTTAATGAAAATATAGCAGAAGTGAAGATTTGCTTTGAAGGACACTACATTTTTACTTAGTTATATAAAAGGTCCTGCCAGGCAACCACATTTCCAGCCATCACATTGCTGTTCCTGTTGTTAAGTGCCATGGAGTCGGTTCCAACCCACAGCGACTAGGTTTTCGAGGAGTGGCTGGTGAGCTTGAACAGGTGACCTTGAGGTTCACCGCTGCTGTTGTTGAGT